TGTCACCTGCAAGCTCACGCAGCCCAGGCTCCGACAGCTCTGGCTGTGTCTCCGCAGGCTGCTCCTTGGCACGGTCGAAAGACGTCGACGTGTCGGCTGGTGGCGGCGGCTGGGCAAAGCCAGCTGCAGCTGGAAGTTCCGTAGGCTCAGCAGCCATAGGGCACAAGCTAGCAGCGGTGCACTACACAAGCTCGGAGCTAACAAAACCTTGAAAAAGCATGAAAATCAGGTTTTGGCAGCCGGGTTTCGGGAGCCTGTTTGCCCTCATCGGTTGCTCATCGGCCCTCATTGGGTTGATTTTTTGAAGGCTCATCGGTACCTCATCGGTCCCACTCCTTTTGTCTAAGTATTGGACCCCCAAAATTTGAGACACCCTCATCGGTTGCTCATCGGGTTTTAGGGTTTTTTTCACTGGACCCCCCTCATCGGCTTATATTTCAAGGGCTCATTGGGCGCTCATCGCCTGTCCCCCGTTTAAGCTAAGTCTTGGACTTATGTTTTCGGCGGGGGCCTCATCGGGTGCTCATCGGGTATGGGCCTGGGCCCCTCATCGGTTGCTCATCGGTCATGTTTGGGCCTTGTTTTAAGGACTTTGGCTGCTATTTGAAGAATCAAGAGGTTCCTCCTTGCTACTTGGGTTAATGGCTTATGCGTATTCACTGTCCTACAGCATTTGGATCTGGGCAAGAACGGATCTTGCATGCTACTGGAATTGACAACGTGGCTGACGCAAGAACTTCGAGCAGTAGCTTAAGAAAGCTGTTGTTGAGCATCAAACACATATAGACACCTTCTACATGAGTCACGTCGCCTGCTACAAGATCTCAGACAAAGGCTTCAATGTTCGTACTACCAGGACTAGAATGAGATGAAACAAGAACCCAGCGCAGCTTAAGGTGTGGAGGCTGTAGGCAAGTTCAAAGCCAAGCTTGTTCCGCGATTTGTACATTTCGGATAGTGGAGCTTCGAAGAGGCCTAAAAAGTAGTCCCCGTAAAAACCATCCAACCCTCGAATATATGAAGGTGAAACAGCTTATAGGGTTGCACGGGCTTCCTCTTCCAGCTCCATCCTAAAAAGGTTTGGGAACATGATTCACCTGTAGTTTGGGATCTTTAGATCTTTTGGGGTTCAGCCTTTCATAACTTTTGTGATACCGCGGGCTGTAGGGTAGCCGAAGGCTCAGTCAGGGCTTACTCTAGACTCTAGACGCTATGGAGCAGAGCTTTCTATCCACGTTGGTGAGGGGTTGCATTCCTGATGTCCGAGAGATGACACACAAGTCCTTGAAAGGTATCATATTCTACCCAATTTACTTTACTTCAAGCTCCTCTAGGGGTTTGGGAACTTTGATTGTACTTC